GGCATGATCTTTCGGACATCCGTGACAGTTACTGTTAATATTCAGGGATGCCTGGGTGTCTGAGATACTTTCAAATCAAATTTACAGTATTTGCTTTCATTTTCAAAACATTATATGAGAGTATAAAGCAAAACTGCACTTTCCCGGCTGGAAAGATGCATTTTCTTCTTTAAAGCACTTTCAAACATAGCTCCTTTTTCCTTTTCCTTCTTTTTTATGAGCTCCACATTTGGGTGTTGTTCTTTATTTCACTTTTGTTATGCTTTGAAAACTAATAAAAACAAGACGTCATTGCCAGCAATAGGCAGAACTGATCTTTATGTAAAAATGTTGCACTTGCCTGGCATTAGTGAGAGCTCCTGTAATGGTATTTGTTGTGGTGCGCCTGTAATGATAGCTGTATTCATTTTAATAGTATTCAAAATGGGAATTCTTACTCAAACTTTTAATGTATAAGAAAGAACTGATAAACCTTGTAAAATACAATAATAATTGAGTCACTGTTTTTGAAGACCAGAAAAATACCTCTAAAATAAATAAAACAGTTGTAAAAATAAAATAATTTCTACCTTTTCTGTTCAAACTCTTCTAAGAGACTATAGAGACTTATCTACAAAGATAAAGATCAAAATTAGCTATGTAGAGAAGAACCGGTTCCTCTGGTACAAGGAGACTGTCAATAAGGTTATATTTTTGGTTTTCTTCCAAAACTAAGTGTAAGAATTCTTGTAAAGACCTTGGTGCAACACTGGTGATTAAATTTCCTGAAACCCTACAGTATAAAAGGGCTCTTCATGCCATCACAATAAAGTCATCACATGGAGTGTCATACAGGAAAATGCCCAAGAATCTGAACACAATTTTTGCTATACTTTAAAACCACAATTATGATGATTTTGAGTATTGAGTTACTCTCTATAATTTCAAGATAGTTCTTGAATTTTTCCAGTTTAATTTTTGTTTTGTTTTTTTACTTGGGGAAAGAGTTAGTAGCTCTAAGCCAAACGCAAATGTGAAATTAATAACTTCAAACCTCTGTTTTTCAATGTTGTGCTAGCAAATTTATGCAAATCATTAGAAATTTCCTGAAATTTAAGAATTTCCTGTATTCTTTTTTATTTTTCTTATCAGAATCAGCCATTGGACAGCTCAAATAATTCT